ACTACTACTACTACTACTAACTACTAACTACTAACTACTAACTACTAACTACTACCATTACTACGACTACGACTACTACTACTATTACTACTACTACTACTACTACTACTCCTACTACTGCTACTGCTACTACTACTACTACTACTACTAATACTACTACTACTACTACTAACTACGACTGCTACCGCTACTCCCAGGTACTACTACTATTATACAGTACTATCAGGTACTACTACTGCTACTACCAGGTGCCAGCACTACTACTACTAGTACTACTACAACCAGGTACTTCTACGACAAGGTACTACGACTAGTAATTCGTACTGGTATTATTAGTAGTAGTAGTAGTAGTAGTAGTAGTAGTAGTAGTAGTAGTAGTAGAAGAAGTAGAAGAAGTAGTAGTAGTAGTAGTAGTCGTAGTAGTAGTTGTAGTAGTAGTTGTAGTAGTAGTAGTAGTAGTAGTAGTAGTAGTAGTAGTAGTAGTAATAGTAGTAGTAGTAGTAATAGTAGTAGTAGTAGTAGTAGTGCCACTACCACTACTACGAACGAGACTACTATTATTACTACTATCACAAGGTTCGTGCACCTGGTGGCGATGGGCGGCTCCGAGGACCTCGGGGGCCCCGAGACCTTCGCCCGGCGCAGGGCCAGCGCTAGCGCGGTCGTCGTCGACGCCGCCGCGCCCTGGCTCAAACTCTGGGGCGAGGGGCCCGCGTGCGCCCGCGAGAGCGAGGTCTCGGCGCGAGCGAAATGGTTGCGGAAGGAAAGGGCGCAATGCCCAACAGCAGTTCCGGTTCATTTTGAACAGGCTTCGCTGTCGGTGTCGCCGCTGCCTGTGTCCATTCGAGACAGGGGGCCACCTGCCCAACAGCCGCCGCTGTTGGTTTGGGACATTTGTTGTTGGGCATTGTGCCCATTCTTTCCGCGCGCATTTCGGGCGCCCAAAAGGCGCGCGCCGCGGGCGCCAAGAAACGCATCCAGAACCTCCGTGAGAAGTTCCGCGAGACGCCCAGAGAGCAGGACAAGGCAGCCTTCGAGACGGAGAAGGCCAAGTTCTTGGCAGACCACCCCGACCACAAGGAGCAAGTGGAGCAGGCCTAGTCGAGCGCCGGATGCAAGTACAGGATCGCCCTCGTGAACATCTCCGCGGTCGAGAACTGGTTCGGCCCGAGCAGGGGGCCGAGGTCCGCCAGGGAGCGAAGCGCGCCCCTTGCCACCCGCGCAAGGCACTGCCGAGTCAGCGACGCGGACCTCGAGGAGGGCACCTGGCGGCGCGATGTCACCCGCGAGCGGGGCGATGGCGAGACGGAACGCGCCCCTGGGGGCATTGCTCAAGGGCCGGCGCAACGCTCTGCTCGAGTTCTCCGAGGCGGAACGCGCGAGGGTCTTCGAGGCCATCGACGCGCGGGGGCAGCCGAGCGCCTGGACGGACGAGCTGGCGGCAAGCTGGACCGTCGACTTCATCGAGCAGGGGCGCGGCCAGAGCCTCGTGTTCGCAGACTGCCTCTCGAGCCAGTGGGCCGAGGCAGTGGCGCTGCGAGCGCGGCTCAAGAATGTCATCTACGCGCCCATGGCCCCCGACATCACGAGCTTCTTGCAAGAGCCCGACGCCCGCGAGCACAGCCAGCTCAATGCCAAATCCCGAGAGGACAAGGCCGAGATGCGCTGGGCCATGTGACCAGATTGGGTCCAGAAGGCCGAGGCCGAGCCCTGGAAGGAGTGCAAGTCCCCGGCAACATGGGGGCCCGACGAGTGCTTCTACTGCGTCTCCGAGGTATGAGAAGTATGGCAACTACTACCGACGCCCCGCGCGCGCCCACCAACCCATCCAGCAGCGATGTCCAAGCGAGCTTCATTGAATCAGGGAAGTGTGGGGCACGCAGTGCAACATAAGAGGGCGGTTGAGGAGGCAGCCGTCAAACCGAAGATCGGGATCAGCGTGAGCATGCCCAGGAGTAAACCGTAAATGCGCTCGTGGATCGTTCGGTCTTGGAGCCTGTTGGCAGCCTACTTGGGCCACCGTGGCGCAATCGATGGCCTTTGAAGCCCTCGAGGGGACCTACTGGGGCCCTCTGGGGGCTCTCTTTGGATCCTCTTGGTGGCCTCGTGTGTCTCTTAGATTATCGTGGAGACCACCGGCCGAAGAACGGAAGAGGGTAACTAATTGCGCCCCCCCCTGGCGAAGGCCGAACCATTGCCTCTTGGGGCCCTCTTGGGCGCTCTCGCGGTGATCTTGGGGCCGTCTTGTAGCTCTCTTGGAAATTCTTTGGAGCCAGCCAGAGGTTTCACTGACATATCAGAAGCGGATAGGCGAACAGGCATCAAGCGCTGATCCCCCGCACGTTCGGACGACCTCGTTCCCCAAACAGTGCTTGCACCTTGGGCTTCTTATCTATGTTCCAGGGAAGTGACCCTGAATGGCGCTCTGGCGGCTAAGTTGTCGCCGTCGCCGCTCCATCGCCGCCTCGTCGTCGCCCGGCGTCCTGGCCCGAGTGGCAGCCTCGCCGCGGTGTTGTCGCCGCCGCCGCCCCGGCGCCGCCCCGTCGCCGCCCTGCGTCTGGGCTCGAACGGCGGTCTGGCGGCCATGCTGTCGCCGTCGCCGCCCCGTCGCCGCCTCGTCGCCGCTCGTCGCCGGGCTCTGAGGAACGGTCCGGCGGTCATGTTTCAGGATTGGAAAAAAGACGCATACATAATTAACTGTCGACTCCCAGGAGAATACGGGAAAATATGGGAAGTGGGGGGGGAGACAAAAAACCAGAACATATGGGAAAATGGGTAATCCTGTTATTTGTGTGCATTTATTTGTGTGTCGCTGGGCCCCTTCAATGTTGCACCACGTAGATTGTATCACATCGATTGCACATCGTAGGTTATACAACATTGATTGCGCAGCATGGGTTTTCTTCCCAAGATGAGATTCGCCCCCCCCCCCCCCCCCCAAATATTAAACAACCTTTTGTTCCGTATTGCAATGTACACATGAATCTGCCCCATCGTTCATCCTGAGTGCGATTTCGTAACATTCGAGCCAGATTGGTAACACCCCTCTCATCGTGTGCAACACAGTTCATGCGCGCATTCGTTTATCAAACATAAACTGCCAATAGCCACTCGCGAAACATGGAACGAAATGTATACGCGCGCGTCGTCGCGCGCGCATGTTGAAATATTTCAGAAACGCTAGGTCCGTCAGGGATTTCAAAACCGGCTGTCCCGAAAACATATGAAAACACATGGTTCCGCAGCAACCTGTTTCAAACAAAACTTGCGTTCGGGCGATTGCGGATTATCAAGAAAACCATAGGTTGTTGTAGCATGGTCATACCATGCTACCACATGGGCCTTTCGCGCGCATGGCGAAATCGCCTGAGCGCCTTTGCGCGCGTGTTGTCGCAAGAACCCGTTGCACCAAATTGGACGAAGTGCACGCGCGCGTCGTTGCGCGCGCATGCGGGAATGCTAAACAATACGTTGGATGCCGCAATGGTTTCAAAACAGGCTGTCCCGAAACCATACATACACATGTTTTGCAACATTCGTATTCCACAATGATTGCGCTCGCGCTCCTGTGGGTGTTCAAGCAAACCATCGGTTCTTCGACTTGTTCGCTCAATTCTGCCAAACGGGCCCCTCGCGCCGCAAGCCGAAATCATTCGAACGCCGTTGCGCGCGTGCTGCGGGGGGCACGATCCGTATCAAATAATATCATGCGGGCCACTCGGCGGCGCACGCGTGTCGAAGTCCCCCCAAAACTTACATCGCCGCCGCGAGGGAGCCGTCATCGTCGTCGGCGCGATGAGCATCGGCTCCGTCACTGGCCTTGCCGTCGTCGTTGTCACCATCGTCGTCACCCGCATCGCTACCATGATCACCGCGTCTGCAGTTGTCGACTTTACCATGTTACCGCGCCCGCCCCAGTCGCCGACTCGCAGTGGAGTGCCCGTTGGGATGTGCCCAGCGGTCAGCGCCACCGCGGTCGCGGCGGCAGCGCCAAGCTGTTTGGCCCTTGCGCGCGCGAGCATGCGCGGGCTAGCGCGGCCGCAGAGTTGCAACAGCCAAATCCGAGCACTCACCGCAATCGCCGCCGCATGGTTTTATAATCCAATATGCGGGTGGAAGGGTGGGATGATTGCGCGAGCAGCGGGGTGGACAATTTATCGTGCACAGAAATTCATACTCTTGCCTCGAAGGAGAATGGAATCTACCCCCCCTCTGGGATGATCCCCCTTTTTCGTTTTGCAATTTACGTATATTTCGGCCCCATCGTCCATCCTCAAGATGAGCTCGTACCATCCCAAGGGAACCCTTATTGACCCCCCCCGTCAGTTTCAGCAGAAGAATACTATGCACGCACATTCGTTTATCAACAGTCAACAGCTTTCAGGAATCATTGGCAAACTAACGAAGCGCACACGCGCGCGTCGTCACGTGCGCGCGGTCGCAGTCGCATTGTAGAACGAAGCAAAGTATACAACTGCACAATCACACCTGGATAGTGTTTGGATTTCGTCGCGATATCTAGCCGACGAGTTTTTTGTTCGACTTACCCCTAGCCCTCTGCGCGTAGAATGTGGCGCGTTTGTCCCGTCTGGGCTTCCTGGGCACCCCTGGAGCCGCAGCTGGACGCAGCTCGGAAAACTGGCCCAGAAATCGTCTCGGAAAAGGATTCGTCTGGGAGTGGGGTTCGAACGGATGTGGGGCAAGTGTTTTGCCACCAACGGGGGCGACAACCAGGACGACGACGACGACGACGACGACGACGACGACGACGACGACAATGACGACGACGACGACGACAGCGACCGCGACGACGACGGCGGCGACAGCGACGACGACCACGGCGGAGGCTATAGCGGCGACGACGACGACGGCCACGGCTGCGTCTACACGGCGGTGGCGGCTGCGGCGACGACGACGACGACAACGACGACGACAACAAAGGCGACGACGAACGCGGCCACCCCGACAGTGGCGCCCACCAGCGGCAGCTCGCCCCGCAGGCAATGTCCCGGCGCCGCACGTCCCCAGGGCCAGCTGGCCCGGCGGTCTTGGCAGGCGGTCGCGCGCGCCCCCCCGGCGACACGCGCCCGTGGCGGAGGAAAGGGAGCGGGGAGTCAGCACGGAAAGAAAAGAAAGAGAGCGCGGTGGGAGGGGAAGTCAGCGCGAGGGGGGCGGGGGGGAAGACATTCACCGATGGTTGACGCCCGAAGAGGATCGCCGCCAGTATGGGTCCCCCCCGATAAACTGAGGGGATCGAAGGGCTTGAAAGAGCGCGTTCTGCGGTCGCTTGGAGGGGTGGGGGGGGTTGAAACCGGACCCCCCCTCCTCCCCTGGATGGAGGGGGGGGGGTTCGAACCCCCACTCCCCCCACCCTCCCGTGACGGAGGGGGGGGGGTGGTTCGGAGGGAGGGGGGTCGAACACCCCCCCCTTTCGTGACGGAGGGGGAAGTGGGTTTGAACCCCCCCCCGGCCTCTTCCCCTCTCGGGCCGGCGCTGCGCTTGGGTCGGTGGCGGCTGGCGACGGGACGGCGGCGGAGACGACGATTTTCATTTATTGGCTGACTCCGGCGCCTGCGGCGGCGGGCGGCGGTGGCGGGGAGCGTCGACGAGGACGACGGTGGTGGTGGTGGTGGTGGTGGTGGTGGGTTGCGGTGGTGTTGGTGGTGGCGGTAGTGGTGGTTGTGGTGGTGGTGGTTCGGCGGCTTGTTGTGGTGGTGTTGGTTGTGGCGGTGAGTGCTGGTGGTGGTGGTGGTTTGGTGGTGTGGTGGTGTTTTGTGGTGGTGGTGGGTTATGGTGGTGGTGGCGGGTTGGTGGTATATGGTGGTGGTTTGTGGTGGTGGTGGTGGGTTGTGGTTGTGGCAGTGGTTTGTGAAGGTGGTGCTTGTGGTGGTGGTGGCGGTGGTGGTGATATGGTGGTTAGTGGTGGTGGTGGGTTGTGCTGCTGGTAATGGTGGTGGTTGTGGCGGTTGTTGTGGTGGTGGTGGTGGTGGTGGTGTGGTAAATTGTGGTGGTGGTGGTGGTGGTAGTGATGGTGAATTTTTGTGGTGGTGATGGTGAGTTGTGGTTGTGGTGGTGGTTGTGGTGGTGGTTGTGGTGGTGGTGGTGGGTTGTGGTGGTGGCGGTGGTTTGTGGACGTTTGTTCTGGTGGTGGTGGTGGTGGCGGTGGTGGTGGTGGTGGTGTGGTGGTGGTTTGTGGTGCTGGCGGTGGGTTGTGCTGCTGGTAGTGGTGGTGGTTGTGGCGGTGGTGGTGGTGGTGGTGTGGTAGATCGTGGCGGTGGTGGTAATGGTGGTGGATTTTTGTGATGGTGGTGGTAATGGTGAGTTGCGGTGGTGGTTGTGGTGGCTGTGGTGGTGGCGGTCGTGGTGGTTGTGTGGTGCTATTGGTGGTGGTGGTGGTGGGTTGAGGCAGGGTGGTGGTGGTGGTCCCCGGGAGGCTTTTGGGGGGCGGGGGGGGTGAGAGGGAACGAAAAGCAGCCGACCTCCCAAACCTAGACACAGAGCGGGGGTCGAGCTACTTCCTCCACGGAGGCCCTTAACCCAAAACCGTGAGGACCGCCAATAGGCCACACCTCGCGCAGTTTCCATCATATGGTCTGCGTGGGTCCCCCCCGCACCTTCACCTGACGGGGTCAACATCACCAGAGGGGGCCGATGATTCCTTTAGAGACCTTCGGCCAACGAAGACGCCCCTAGAGGAGGGCCCAACGTACCTCCACACCTTCTTACATATTCCCATGACGGCGTCGATTGCCACCCGCGCTGTTTTCCTCCCCTCCCCTCCTCCCCCCTCCCTCCCCTCTTCTCCCTCTCCTCCCCTCCCTTCCCTCCCTCCGTTCCCCTCCCTCCCCTCCCTTCCCGCGCTCGCAGGCCGCAGCGCCTCCACCGACAGGCGCCGCGCGGCCGCGCTGGTCCACGGCGTCGGCGCCTTGGGCGCTCCCCGCCGCCGCGGCGGGCACCCCGTCTCGCTCGAGGGCTCGAGGGCTCGAGGGTTGAGGCTCGAGGCTCGACGCTCGATGCTCGAGGCTCGACGCTCGAGGCTCGAGGCTCGAGGCGCGAGGTTCTTCCACAACTTCCAATCCTTCGGATTGCCTCCTGGGAGTTTTCAAACTACGGCGCGCGCGGTGGCTCAGCGAAAACCACGGCTTGAAAACCAGTCGCCCTCCATCTGGTAGCGGTTTCGAAGCTTCTTGTGACACGACCGCGCGTGGCGCTGAAGCAACCGTCACAGATTGAGCAATAGGTGCTTTCCCTCCATCCGAGTAGCTGCCGGAGAACTGTTGGCGGAAGTATGCGGGCGGCGATATGCGGCGACGGCCTTTTTCTGGAGGGCGGCATCCGCGTTTGAGACGTAAGGCCGTGAGCTTTGAGGAGGTCTCAGGTGAAACACTTGGACTGCCTATTCACACGTCTGGTTGCGCGACGATGGGAACCAGTTGTCAGGATCAGTGTGGAGGAGGAGGTGGTGGTTGAGGAAGAGGCGGAAGAGAGGGAGGAGGAGGAGGAGGAGGAGGAGGAGGAGGAGGAGGATGCAGAGGAGGGGCCCCAGACGACGAGGGGGGGAAGGAGGGGGCGGAGCGGAGGATGTGGCGGCGAGATGCGTTTCGAACGATGTGCTACGTGAAGGAAGTAGGGGGGAGGAACTCCACACGACCGCGGAGGTCTGCGGTCCCGAGAGGTTTCTTGAGGGAGGTGGTGGTGGTGATGTTGGTTGTGGTGGTGTTTATGCTGATGCTGATGATAGTCGTGATGCTGCTGATGACGATGATGTTAGTGCTGATCATGATGATAGTGGTGGTGGTGGGTCCAGTGATGATCTTGCTGCTTCTGATAATGGTGATCATGATGATTGTAGTGGCCTCCGGCCAGTGCCGCCGATCCGGGACGTTCCGGACGAGATGATGATGATGATGATGATGATGATGATGATGATGTTGAGGATGAGGATGATGATTATGATGATGATGATGATGATGTTGATGATGATGCTGATGATGATGATGATGATGGTGGTGGTGATGATGATGATGATGCTGATGATGATGATGATGATGATGATGACGATGATGATGATGATGATGATGATGATGATGATGATGATGATGATGATGATGATGATGATGATGATGATGATGTGACGATGGTGATGGTGATGGTGATGGTGATGGAGATGGTGATGATCTTGGCCCCCCCTCCCCACCTCCCCTCCTCTCTCCTGTCCCCCTCCCCCTCTCTCCTGTCCCCCCCCTCTCTCCTTTCCGTCCCCCCCCCTCTCTCCTGTTCCCCCCTCCTCTCTCCTGCCCCCCCCCCCTCTCCCATCCCCCTCTCTCCTGTCCCCCCCCTCCCTCCCTCTCTCCTGTCCCCCCCCCCTCTCTCCTGTCCCCCCCAGTCTCCTTTCCCCCTACCCCCCCCTCTCTCCTGTCTTCCCCCCCCAGTCTCCTTTCCCCCCCCCTTCCCCCCTCTCTCGTCCCCCCCCCCCTCCCCTCCCCTCTCTCCTGTCCCCCCCCCCTCTCTCCTTTCCCCTCCCTCCGCCCCCCCTCTCCTTTCCCCTCCCGCCCCCCCTCTCTCTTGTCCCCCGCCCCCTCCTCTCTCCTGCCCCCCCCCCACCCCTTTCTCCTTTCCCCACCCCCCCGATCGGGTTTCAATTCTTTCGTCGCTGGCGTCCCCCCCCCCCCCCTTGCAGAGCGAAGCTTGAGCGAGCCCCCCCCCTCTCTCTCTCCTTTTCCCCTCCTCCCCCCCTCCTGCCCCTGCCCCCCACTCTCTCCTGCCCCCCCCCTCTCTCCTTTCCCCCCCCCCTCGCGTTTCAATTCTTTCGTCGTTGGCGCCCCCCCCTTGCAGAGCGAAGCTTGAGCGAGCCCCCCCCCTCTATCCTTTCCCCCCCCCCCTCGCGTGTCAATTCTTTCGTCGTTTGCGTCCCCCCCCGACCCCCCCCTCAAGAGCGAAGCTTGAGCGAGCTCACGCCCACGCTCTCAGAAACTCACACGCCGGATCGGCGGATTCTGCTGGTGGTGATGTTGTTGAAGATGATCATGATGATGGTGATGATGCTGATGCTGCTGCTGGCGATGACGACGATGTTGATGGTTACGATTGATAATCTGCTGATACTGCTGCTTAGGATAATTCACAGTCGTAGAATTACTATTGATGGTGATGGTGATGATGATGCTGATGATGATCATAATCATGATCATCATGATGATGATGCTGCTGCTGATAGGATGAAGATGTTGATGACGATGCTGATGATTATGCTGACAATGAAGATGATGATGATGATGATGATGATGATGATGATGATGATGATGATGCTGACGATAATGATGATGATGAGTGTGGCTATGTTGTTGACGGCAGCGACAATGGTGGCTGTGGTGGTGGTGGCGGTGTTAGGATGATGATGTTGATGATGATGACATGATTCTGACGCTGATGGCGACGACGAAGATGCTGATGCTGGTGCCCGCGCGGATGAGGTTGGGGATGATGATGATGCTGATGATGCTACGGATGTTGGTAATAATGTCGATGATGACAATGGTGATGCTAGTGTTGATCGTGATGCTGATGATGATGACCATCATCATGGTGTTCACAATGCAGATGACACTGATGCTGCCGTTGATTACGATCTGTGGATGCCGTCGATGGTGATGATGATACTGATGTTGATGCGGATGATGCTGGTGATGATCATGCTGATGTTGGTGATAGTGATAGTGTAGATGATGCTGAGGATGGGGGGCGATGATGATGCTGATGGTGATGCTGATTATGGTGATGATGCGGATGATGATGCCGATGATGGTGCCGATGGTGATGATGCTACTCCTGGTGATGGTGATGGTGATGATGATGTTGATGATGGTGGTGGTGATGCTGATGCTGATGCTGCTGCTGAGTATGATGATGAGTATACCATTGGTCACGATCATGCTGCCGCACATGACCCAGCTGATACGGTTGATTATGATGATGATGATGATGATGATGATGATGATGATGATGATGATGATGATGATGATGATGCGTGGAATGATTATGGTGTTGTTGACGGTGGTGGTGATGATGGTGATGGTGATCGTGATTGTGATATTGGTTATGATGTTGTTGATGATGCTGATGCTGATGCTGATGCTGCTGATGATCATGCTGATGATGGTGATGATGACGTTGATGCTGATGCTGAGGCTGATGATGCTGATGATGCTGATGTTGGTGATGATGATGATAGTGCTGATGATGATGCTGATGATGATGGTGGTGGTTATGATGATGATGATGATGATGATGATGATGATGATGATGATGATGATGATGATGATGATGATGATGATGATGATGATGATGATGAAAAGGATGCTGATGTTGTTGTGGTTGTTGTTGTTGTTGGTGGTGTTGGTGGTGGTGGTGGTGAGGAGGGGGAGGACGAGGAGGAGGAGGGCTACGGACGACTCTCCTTTCAGCCATCAGGAAGCAGGAAACGGGAATCAGGAGGAGGTGGAGGAGGAGGAGGAGGATGAGGAGGAGGAGGAGGAGGAGGAGGATGTCGAGAAGAAGTATGAGCAGGAGGAGGAGGATGAGTCATGAGGTGGAGGAGGAGAGGAGGAGGAGGAGGAGGAGGAGGAGGAGGAGGAGGAGGAGGAGGATGTCGAGGAGGCGGAAGAGCAGGGAGTGGGAGGAGGATGAGGAGGAGCAGGATGAGGGAGGGAGGAAGGAGGAGGAGGAGGAGGAAGAGGAGGAGGAGGAGGAGGGGAGGAGGAGGAGGAGGAGAGGAGAGGGGCAGGAGGACGGGAGGAGTAGAAATGGGAGGAGGAGGGGGAGGATGAGAAGAGGGTTGAGGAGGGTGAGGAGGAGGTGGGAGGAGGAGGGATATCAAGGAGGAGGAGGTGGAGGAGGAGGAGGAGCAAAAGGGAGACGGAGGAAAAGGGGGGAGGGAGGATAGAGGGGGCAGGGCTCGAGCAGGAGGGCCTTCATCGCGGCAGGCGCCCGCGCGGACACCGACGCGGCCGCGAAGGCGGGGGGCACCTCGGGGCAGTGCGCGCGGGCGGCGGGGGCGGGGGGGGGGCGTGAGCTCCTCGCCCTCTCGCCACTCCTGCTTCTGCAGGAGGCCAGGAGGAGGAGAAAGACGAGGAGGAGGAGGAGGAGGAGGAGGAGGAGGAGGGCTACGAACGACGTTCCTTTCAGCCGTCAGGCATCAGGAATCCGGAATCAAGAGGAGATGGAGGAGGAGGAGGAGGAGGAGGAGGAGGAGGAGGAGGAGGAGGAGAAGGATACAGAAGGAGGAGGCAGAGACAGAGGAGTTGGAGCTGGGGGCCGTCCGGCTGCTCTGCGTGATCCCCGCGTTCGTCGAGGTTATGAGACGGGGGACAGTGGTATGGCATAGACCTGGCTGCCAGTCCCAGGAGGAGTCCTCCTGGTTCTCCAGGTGGCCATGAGCAGTTGGAGGAGGATGGGGAGGGGGAGGGGGGGGATGAGCAGTGGGAGGAGGATGAGGAGGAGGAGGAGGGGGATGATGAGGAGGGGGGGTCAATGGGGGCTCGGTGAACCAGGCCCAGGGCGGCGGTGATGATGATGATGATGATGATGATGATGGTGGTGGTGGTGGTGGTGGTGGTGGTGATGGTGGTGGTGGTGATGATGATGATGATGCTGATGATGATGATGATGCTGATGATGATTATGGCGATGATGATGATTATACTCTTGATGATGATGCTGCTGATGATGATGGTGATGTTGTTGTTGTTGCTGCTGCTGATGATGATGATGTTGATGATGATGATGATGATGATGATGATGATGATGATGATGATGATGATGATGATGATGATGATGAGGTGATGTTGAGGCTGGGGAAGGCCAGTGCGAACCCAAGACGCTTCAACGTTTTTGCAATCCACTTCCCTCCGAGATCCCCCTTCGAAGGGCCGTACAATACTGGACTTTAACAGTCGTAACAGCCATATTGAGAGACAACCGGGCGGGAGCCCTCTGTCTTGACAAGACACTAGTCCTGGGACTTTCACGCCAAGAGTCAATGTGACACTGAAGGTCGTGCCAGGACCAATTCCTGGGCTTGGAGCACAGAGGATCAACGTGCGTAGTTCGTCTTGGCAACATTTAGTCGCGCCAGACCGCCCGATGGACCCTTGCATCTGCTGCGAACTTTTAAGACGAATGGGCGCGGCGCTCAGGCGAGCGCCAGATTTTGAAACCGACCCGCACTCCATCCGTGAAGCTGCTGCACATTCCAAACATCAGGATCACAAGTGATGAGGAAATCTCGAAAGAAACGCCTGGCCCACCCGACACGGCCTGGGTGCGCGACAGGGAGGAGTTATGCACAAGGAACGGGATAGAGGAGGAGGGGGGGAGGAGGAGGAGAGAAATCGAGGAGGAGGATGAGGAGGACGAGGAAGCGGACAGGGTTTAAACGCACCGGCCAGCACCCCCACAACTGACCAGAAATCCAGACCAGCGCGGTTTAAAGTACCACCACCTGACAACCTCTAACAGGACCTGCCAGCCAGACCTCCGCCACCGCGAACCACATAACCCGTTGAGACCATTAACCAGTTCAGCCAAGGCATCCATCCGCAGCTAGTTTACAAACGACGTTTGGGACCGCACACGACAGACCCATCGACCACCTAGCATCCAGAGGTCCCGAAGAAACACCTGCCAGCCAAGCTTGCCCCGAAACCCATCAGCACCAGCGACTACGACGAGCTGGCCCCGTACGCCTGTGCCCAACGGGATTGCGGGATTGGGACGAAATTGTGGGCCACGTTGAGGTCGGCATCCCGTGCAAACTTCGAGGAGCGCCGACGCCATTAGTCACCACGCGCCTCCGGGAGTCGGTCGCCAACGCCATTCTACAGCACATGAGCCCACTGCCCGACGATGCCCACCAGCTCCAAAACAAACCGACCCCGTTCGCGGAAGCCCGACGGCACGACCACCCCGACCCGCCACGTGGCCTCTGAGGCAACCCCAGCAAACAGGACCCTCCAGCATCAAAGAGAGCAAGTGACAGAACGGTCAAGCGAGGTCGACCGCAGTCGTAGCGCACACGCCCCAAAAGAAAGTCTCCACCCAAGACGCAGGCGGCACAGCCACGTCAAGCGGCGGCAGTCGCCCCCCTACCGAACCCAGTGTTATCCGAGGGCTGGCCCTCTCGATGTATGCACGCATGAGAGCCCGGGGGTCTGCCACGCCTACTACTTGAGCGCCACGCCCACCCCATTCTACAGATCCTCAGCCCATTGAAACCCAGGACACCCACCACCCATGTCATGATCAGTGGCATAGATGACCCAACGAGCAGCACCAACTAGTTATATTCGACACGCGCTACGCGACCAGACGATCGGACGCAAGCGGGGGGGACGATGGCCACGAGGAAGAATACCGCCCTGGGTACGAGTCCAGATGGAACGCCTATCGGGACGAGGGTTTCGGCCCCTTCCAGAGAAGCGTTCGACCGCCACCGATACCAGCAACAGGGAACCGCTGTGCAAGCAGAAGGCCCCACCACGATCCAGAGTCAGCGTGATCGTCGGTAGCTCCGACGCCCTCACCGTGCAGCCTGCGCAGGCCTGCAGCACGGGCCAGCCTCTCTCTCCCGGGTGCCACCGCGTCGCCCATTTTCCCACGACCGCGAGCTGAGAGGCGAACGCCGCCCTCGTGCCCAGACAGGACCTGTCGCTCGGGGGTCTGTCAGAGCGTCGGCCTCCTTCCCAAGTAGTTATCAAATGGCAGGCGCAGCCACCAGTTCTCCCAAATCCTTGAACCCGACCTCTGCATTCTTCTTTTGCCAGCGCCGCGCTCAGTGTCTACGACCGCAGCAGCAGTTGGGCCACCTTTTTCAACCCTACGGCGCTGCGTCGCAGCGCTCTTTCCACCCTTTTTTCGCCGATCTCAGCGACAGGGCTTACGGCGCACCTCGCTTACGTTGCCAGCAGTCGCATACGATACCGCAGATTGTAGGCGGCACGGCGGCAGCTACTGCGACAGGGCACGCTATGCTACGCAGTAAGTCCGTGGTAATGCAGGGCCTCAAAACCCGCTGCGGTGAGCAGTGGGAAAGCGACCCCAGCCCCCACAACTATGGATTGGACATGTCAGCATTTTGCTCTCACGGCGAATCAGCGTAAGTGTAGGCGCCTTGTCGGCCACACCATTGCCGGCTGCCGCACGGGGGCCCCGCGCGCGCGGCGACGTCCGGGGCCCGCTCGGCGCGGCCGCGCCCGCGCCGGCATTCCCGGGGCCGTTCGCGCCACGGCCGCGGCGTGCAGTTTAAGGCGACGGCGGCGCTGTTCCTCGCACGGCAGCGCCGCTGGCCCAGCCGAGGGCCCCCGCGGCCGCTTCCGTCGCCGCTCCGTAACCCCGCCGACGGAAAAGTTTAGATCGGCGTTCCTCTTGGGGCAACTGCTCCAATATGATGTTCTTTTTTTCTGCTAACAGTTTTCTGTTTGTATAAACTTTTCAGGGCTCTCCCGCGCGAAACCTCCCGCTTCGGACAAGTTTAGATTTATGTTATACTGAGTTTATATGAACTTGTTTCGCCTGGTGCCTCAACTTTGTTTTTGGGGTGGATGGAAGCTTTTCGATGCGCGCCCGTGCGGGGCGTGTCCCGGGCGCCGCCCGGGGCTCTTGCCAGCGCCGCCAAGTGCCGACGTGCCCATTGGTGTTTTTGCCCCGGCACGAGCGCGCGAACGCCCGCAATGATTATGGGCATTGACCGCGTGCCAGCACAAGGAAACGCCAAGTTCAGACGCCAATGGGCGTAGGAGCAACGCGCCGTTCGCATTGAATGGCGCGGCGTTGTCGTTTGCTGACCGTCGAGTAATGGCCGCTTGCAGTTCGCGCGTCGTTTGACGGTCCCATTGGTCTAAAGTTCCTCATGTGGGGGGCGGGGGCGTTTTTCATGCGTTCATGCGGCTTTCTCAGCCACAGTCTGCTATATCATCCATCGTCTAGTGGGTGGGGCCAACCTATTTCCAAGGAGCCATCGGAGATAGTTCTCTCATGTGCCTCTTTGGTGGTGGCCGTGTATCGCGTCACTGGCTGAGACCTCGGCGGCGACGGCCCGAACAACCAATTATGGAGAGGGCTTCCATGGGAACTCTCACCTGGCCCTCGCTCTCTGCTGGCACCACCTTCTTGTAACTGCCCCCCGCTGCTCGCGCCACCTGACCTTCACATCCCTACCCTTTGGCGGGGAATCGTTGGGAGGATGGGGATTTGACGCAGTTGCAGGCCGTTTAGGTTGGGGCCAGGGCGACCGCTGCTCACAGCCAAGCCTTCGCACAGACGCAGCTCCCGCTTTTACCAACCCCCTCGTCTTTGCAGCCTCTCTTCGTCGCCCTCTTGCATATGCGCCTGCCTCATTGGTTGCGGATCCCACGCAGATGCTCGCCGCGCACTTTGTGTTCGGCTTCTGTTCTCACGCGCCCTTCCTCCGTTCAAATGTTTGCTCTCCGTGCCCAACCACCCCAACGCCGATGCCTTTCTCGCGCCGCCTTTTACCACTCTCAAAGCGGCGCGCCGCCGCAGACGGAAAAAGGGGATTAATCTCGGGGGGAGGATCTAAGCCACGGGGCCGCCGCCACAGGATGGCGCAAATCGCGCCCATGCGGTGGGTGAGGGCTCCCTGGCCGTGAGTCGGGGGCCTCCCTCTGGTGCGCCCCGTGGGAGATTGGAGGGTCCCCTTGAGCCATCCTGCCTACTGCGAGCGTGGTCCCGCCCACGCTCGTCGTCAACGCAGCGTCCACCGCCCTCCTGTTGCCACCCAGCAGGCTTCCCCTTTTTTTAGCTTCAGAATGGCGAGTGTGACGCCTGGCCCCAGGCGCTTGCTCGCGCCGCCCAGCAGCCTCGGCGCTGCAGTTGTGCGCCGCCCCCTACCAATTAGCAGGGCGGCGCGCCGAGGCGCGAGCGGAGGGGGCATGTATACGTCACGATAGGCGGGGGGGATCCCTGAAACGGGGCCGCCGCCACGCGACGGCGAACCGCCCCCGGATGGAGGATCCCGTGGGGGGAGCCCGTGGAACAGTCCTTGCCCGAAACAAGAATACTCCTCTTCCTCCTTTTCCTCCTCCTCCTTTTCCTCCTCCTCCTCCTTCTCCTCCTCCTCCTCCTCCTCCCCCTCCTGCTCCTCCTGCTCCTCCTCCTTCTCCACCTCCTCCTCATCCTCCTGTCAGACCCTCGCGAACATGGATCAAGGGGGCGTGGACTCGCGACGGGCCCCGTTTCGATGGGGCATTGCGGAGGGCCGCCACGAGGCGGCACCGGCCGCATTGTGGGGAGGGGAGGCACCTCCCCCGATCCATGGATTTGGCGACCGCGAGCCACAGCCACGGATCGCTAATCCATGTTTGCGCCCCCCGACGTTGCCCGGTGGGCAACCCTGGGTGGTCCCCAGCTGCGTCCATGGGATTTTTTCGCCCGGCTTCTGTGGGAAAGGGCTCCCTGGCCATGACTCGGGGGCCTCCCCTACGTCCTGCGGGGGATGGGAGAGCCCCTTGCACCATCCCACCTCCGGCGAGCGTGGCTCCGCCCACGCTTGCCAACGCAGCGCCCACCTTCCTGTCGCTCATTCGCAGTGCCGCCACTTCCCCCGCCCCCTCTCTCTCAACCCACGTGTTGTCGCCAGTCCTCTCCTCCCTTCCAGGTCGCAGGGCAACACGGATACCCCGCCCCTGATGGTCAGTCAATCATTTCCCATTTCGATTTCAGAAGTCGCAGTCGTAGTTTGATTACACCCCCAGGGGCGACCGCACCTGGGGGTGGGGTGCAACGCCACTTGCGACATCGATGCACCAGCGCCCAGAGCCCAGAGGGATCGGGGAGGCGGAGGATAGAGAGGAGGACGAGGAGGAGGAGGAGGAGGAGGAAGAAGAGGAGGAGAAGGAGGAGGAGGAGGACGAGGAGGAAGTGGAGAAGGGAAAGGATAAGAAGGACGAGGGGGAGGAGGAGGAGGAACAAGACGAGGAGGAGGAGGAGGAAAATTGCGAAAATTAAGTTATGAAACACCTTGAGAATGAGGATGAAGAGGGGCTGGGGGATTCTCCAATGTGGCTCGGTGAATTGGCCGCTGGGGGGTGATGGGGATGAGGAAGACGAGGATGATAACGTGGAGCGGGGTTTTGTCCTGACCAGGGGACCGTCCGCAAGCGCGATGACCAGGAAACACACAAGCGCGGCCAACGACGGAGGCTGCTCCTCGCGCCGCCGCGGCAGAAGAGGGGGAGCCGCGGCGGCGAGCGTCAGGACGACGAGCACGGCGGCGGCCACCACGCCGCCGGCCACGCCGACGGCCGCGGCGACGGCCACGGCGACGGCCACGGCGACGACGGCGAGCGCGCGCCCCGCCGGGGGCCACGGCGGCGTCGGCGGCGGCGGCCGCAGGCGGCCTCGCGCCAGCGCCCGCCCAGCGAGAGCAGCCTCGGCGGCGGGGCCGCGGCGGCGCGGCCGCGGAGGTGGGCGCCGCGCTCTCGCTGGCCTGCCGTCCCTTCTTGCTTCCCCCTCCGGCTCGCTGCCGGTACAGCGCTTTGTAGATTCCCCAAACATATTCTCGAACGGCTCAGAGGAGGGGTTCCTCCAGGCTCACGGGGCCTCAATCAGATTCGAGCAAGACCGGCCGAAAGAGGAAAAAACACCCCGACCCCGATACGTAGCGTTTCCCATTTGCCCTGGGCGTTTACGAAACAGCCCCGCCCTGTTCGATTTCTTCCTTGGGTGCGTTTTCGAATTGGCTTCGCTTGTCGGGGTGCTTATTATGGGAATGTTTTTGTTGCGTTCTAGTAGGCTCCGCATGGCCCAGGAGGCCCCCAGGGCGACCAGTAGGTGGACTCCAGGGGCCCCCTCGGTGGAGAGGCAAAGGAGGAGGAGGTGGAATTGGAGATGATATGCACTAAATGACAGAAGGGGGATGCTGATGATGATGTCGATGATGATGATGATGCTGATGATGATGATGATGATGATGATGATGATGTCGATGATGATGATGATGATGATGATGATGATGATGATGATGATGCTGATGCTGATGCTGATGTTGATGTTGATGTTGATGCTGCTGATGATGCTCATGATGATGATGATGATGCTGCTGATGATGATGATGATGCTGATGATGATGATGCTGATGCTGATGCTGATGCTGATGATGATGCTGATGCTGATGCTGATGCTGATGTTGATGTTGGTGCTGATGATGATGCTCATGATGATGATGATGATGATGATGATGATGATGATGCTGCTCATGATGATGATGCTGATGATGATGCTGATGCTGATGCTGATGATGATGATGATGATGATGATGCTGCTGATGATGATGCTGATGATGATGATGCTGATGATGATGCTGGTAATGATTCTGATGATGATGCTGATGTTGATGCTGATGATGATGCTCATGATGATGCTGATGATGATCATGTTGATGATTTTGCTGATGATGATGATGACGATGATGATGATGCTGATGATGCTGGTGATGATGTCGATGATGAACATGATGATGATGATGATGATGATGATGATGATGATGATGCTGATGCTCATGCTGATGCTGATGCTGATGCTGATGCTGATGCTGATGATGATGCTGATGATGACGCTAATGTTGATGATGCTGCTGATGATGATGATGGTGATGATGATGATGATGATGATGATGATGATGATGATGATGATGATGATGAGGATGATGGCTATGCTTGTGATTATGATTATGATTATGATGGTGATGATGGATGATGGTGATGATGCTGATGTTGATGCTGATGCTGATGGTGCTGATGCTGATGCTGATGCTGATGGTGATGCTGATTGTGATGACGATGCTGATGATGATGCTGTTGCTGATGCTGATTATGCTGATGACGATGCTGGGAATTTGGATGAGGACGAGGATGCGGATCAGGATGATGATGAGGATGAGGATGAGGATGATGATGCAGATGCTGCTGCTGCTGATGATACTGATGCTGATGCCGATGATGCTGTTGATGCCGTTGATGCTGATGCTAATGATGATGCTGATGCTGATGCCAATGCTGCTGCTGATGTTGATGGTGATGTTGATGATGATTATGATGATGAGTCTGATTATGTTGCTGATGATAATGATGCTGCTGATGATGATCATCATAATGCTGATGCTGATGCTGATGAGGATGCTGCTGGTGATGATGCTGATGATTATGCTGATGCTGATATCGATTATGCTGTTGATTATGATGCTGATGATGCTGAGGCTGAGGCTGAAGCTGATGATTATGATTATGATTGTGATGATGATGTTGATGATGCTGCTGCTGATGACGATGCTGATGAGGATGACGATGATGCTGATGATGATGCTGATGCTGGTGATTATGATTATGCGTGTGATGATGATGTTGAGGCTGCTGCTGATGATCATGCTGATAAGGATGACGACGATGATGATGATGATGACGACGATGATGATGATGCTGATGATGATGATGATGATTATGATGATGATGCTGGTGATGATGATGATGATGATGATGATGATGATGATGATGATGATGATGATGATGATGATGATGCTGATGATGCTGATGATGCTGATGTTGATGAAGATGAGGATGCGGATGAGGATGAGGATGAGGGAGAGGATGAGGAGCAGCAAGAGGAGGAGGAAGAAGAGGAAGAGGAAACGGAGGAGGATGAGCAGGAGGACGAGGTGGACAATGATTAACCCTATCCAGTTATTAAGAAATCCCCCTAGGTTATTCTTAGCACCCGGTTTTTCAATATTCCAGGCGGGCAGTTTTCGCAGAACGATAAACTTAGCACCCGCCGCAAACAGAAAACAAAATCCATCGGTGGCCGCCCCAATGAGGCCAAGAGAGGGTGTCGCAACGAATGTCAAGGATCTAGCCCAGATCTCTGTGGACCTCTATCCCTGGTAGGTCCTGCTAAGCCCTGCTAAGCCCTGCGGGCCGATGGGCCTTGCGAAGCCCTGCCAAGCCCTGCTAAGCCCTGCTACGCCCTGTGCAGGGCCCTGCTAAGCCCTGCTAGTTCAGCCCTGCTAGGCAGGCCCTGCTCAGCCCTGCTCAGCGCTGCTACGCCCTGCTATGGCCTGCTAGGCGTGGTCCGAGCTTGGTCCGAGGCAAAGCCCTGCGAAGTCCGGCTAAGCCCTGCGAAGCCCTGCGGCCCTGGTCCAAGCAAGGTCCGAGGCTAAGCCCTGCTAAGCCCTGCTAAGCCCTGCTAGGTCCTGCTAAGCCTTGCTAACGCTTGCTAAGCCCTGCTAAGCCGTGCAAAGCCCTGCCAAGCCCTGCTCAGCCCTGCTTGGCCTTGCTAGGCCCTGCTAAGCTCTGCGAGGCCCTGCTAAGCCCTGCTGAGCGCTGCCAAGCCCTGCTAGGCGTGGGCCGGAGCGCGGTCCGAGGTTTAGCCTTGCTAAGCCCTGCTAAGCCTTGCTAAGCCCTGCTCAGACCTGAGTCTGAGCACGAGTATCACAATACGAATGATAAACCAAGCAGGAGTGATCATAATAATAATGCTCATACTAATGAATAGTACCACAATGCCAAGCAGGATCACGAATTTTGAATGTGAGTGAGTCTGAGCACAATGAGTCTGACTGTGAGTGAGCCTGAGCAGAAGGATTCAGTCACAACCCAGGCACTGCTCCAGTCTCTGACCCACAACCCAGGCACTGTTCCAGTGTCTGACACACAACCCAGGCACTTCTCAAGTCCCTGACCCACAACTCAGGCACAACTCTGCTTTTCCTGTGCTTTCTTATTGTTTCCTAGCTCCTCCTCCTTCTCCTCCTCCCCCTCCTCCTCCTCTTCCCATGCGATTCCTTTTGCATCCTCCTTGCAGAAATAATCTTTCGTCGGCCTTCCAAGGGGGGGGCCCACCCCAGGGTATCCCCCGCCCCGCACCCCCGCGTTACCTTAGCACCCGCGGACCCAGAAATACTAGAGAGCCCGAGGAGCGGGCACGCACGGATTCTGAGTGTGAGTGAGTCTGAGCAGTCTGAGTCTGCTAAACCTTACTAGGCACTGCTAAGCCACGCTCTGCTTGAACTGCTACCACTACTACTACTACTGCTACTACTACCACTACTACTACTACTACTACTACTACTAGTAATTCTACTAGTACTACTACTACTACTACTACTACTACTACTACTACTACTCCTACTATTACTATTACTACTACTACTACTACTACTACTACTACTACTACTACTACTACTACTACTACTACTACTACTACTACTACTACTACTACTACTACTACTACTACTACTACTACTACTACTACTACTACTACGACGACTACTACTACTCGTACTCGCTCTACTACTACTACTACTACTACTACTACTACTACTACTACCACTACTACTACTACTGCTATTACGACTACTACTACTACTACTACTACTACTACTACTACTACTATTACTACTACTACTACTACTACTACGACTATTACTACTACTACTACTACTACTACTACTACTACTACTACTACTACGACTACTACTACTACTACTACTGCTGCTACTACTACTACTACTACTAGTACTACGGCTACTACTGCTGTTACTACTACTACTACTACTACTACTACTATTACTACTACTAGTATCCCCACGACTACTTCTACTACTACTGCTACTACTACTACTACTACGACTACTACTACTACTACTACTAATGCTACTACTACTACTTCAACTACTACTAATATTATTATTACTACCACTACTACTACTACTACTACTACTACTACTACTACTACTACTACTCCTACTACTACTACTACTACTACGACGACTACTACTACTACTAGTGCGTCTCGTGGTACTACTACTACTACTACTACTACTACTACTATTACTACTACTACGGCTACTACGGCTACTACTACTACCCTGCTAAGCCATGCTAGGCCATGCTAAGCCCGGCTCAGCCCTGTTAAGCCCTGCTATGCTAGGCACTGCTAAGCCTTGCTAGGCCCTGCTACGCCTTACTATTCCTTGCTAGGCCCTGCTACCTGTAAGCCCTGCTCAGGACTGCTGAGCTCGGCTAAAAGCCTTGCTAGGCCTTGCTAACCATTGCTAACCTCTGCGAGACACTGCTAGGCCCTGCTAAGTTCTGCTAAGCCCTGCTGCTATGCTCTGCTGAGTCCTGCTAAGCCCTGTAGAGCCTTGCCAAGCCCTGCTTAGCCCTGCTAAGCCTTACTAAGCCTTGCTAAACCCTGCTAAGCATTGCTAAGCCCTGCTAAGCCCTGCTAAGCCCGGCTAAGTCCTGCTGAGTCCTGCTAGGCTCTGCTAATCCCTGGTAAGCCCTACAGGGCCTTGCTAAGCCCTGCTAAGCCTTGCAAAGCCCTGCTAAGCTTTGCTGAGCCCTGCTCAGCCCTGCTCAGCCTTGCGGAACCCTGGTCAGTCCTGCTTGGCCCTACTCAGCCCTGCTAAGCCCTGCTGAGCTTTGCTGAGCCCTGCGGAGCCCTGCGGAGCCCTGCTAAGGCCTAGCACTGCTAGGCCCTGCGAAGCCCTAGCTAGGCCCTCTTCCTGTGCAGCCATAGCGCTCCAGGGTGCGGGGGCGTTATAATCCACCGGAAGGGGGGGGGTTCTTAATAACTGGATAGGCGAGGAAAAGAGGAACGAAATGCAAAGCAGGGCAAGGCAAGACCAGCAGGGCGGGGAAGCCGGCAGGGGCCGGCCGGGCTGGCAGGGGCTGGCAGTGCTGGAAGCATGGGCAGGCCAGTGCCAGCGGCAGTGGCCAGCAGGGACGCGAGGGCTGGCAGGGCCGGGAGGGCGCACCGTAAATGTTTGCTCTTATGCCAGACTGGCACGTTTGCCAACATTTTCTGTGGCGGGAGGGCAAAGGGTGAAACCTGAAATGCCGTTTCGATGGAGTTTCGAGGTTCGAAGCAGCACAAGGCGAAACACGAAACGGATTGATAATGGTGTTGCGAGAGCCCATATGGATTTCACCCTGATCCATCCACCTTACAAAAATTCGCAGGTTTTGTGGTCAGACAAAGGAGGCGTTACTCATCTACTGGCCTTCGGCCCATCCAACTTCCGCGCTGGGGTTGTAGCTCAGAGGCCTTTCTGTGAAGGTGTTGCAGGCCGTGCCGGTGGCGAGTCCCGCATCTCTCTACCTATATCCTCCTCTGGGGGGCATCCCGACTCCTAGTGCGGGCTCTGTCCCCCAGGGGGTGGGCACATGCGGATAGGCTCTCAGGCACACTCATCCCTTCCACACTCTCGGGGCCTTCTTTGGCCCAGCATGAGGCGCCCGTGGTTCCGAAGAAGTCGTGCGGGAAGCGCCCGCGGCATGCACATCACATCGGGCACCCTGGGAGAATTTAAGAACGCGGGGTCTGGCTCATTCATGTCCACTCCTGGGGGCTGGTATTTGAATATTGGAGAGAGCTTGATCCACCGCAGCTTTACAATGAAAAATTGCCACCCTTTTTCCTCCGTAACCCGGGGTTCCCCCCCCCCCTCCGAAAATCCCTCCCCCCCCCCCCCCTGCTGGACCCCCCCCCTTCCCCCCCGGCAAACCCCCCCCTCCCCTAACCCCTCCCCCCCCCCCCTCCACCTCGAAAGCCGGGGGGGGTCACTACCGGTTCGAACCCCTCCCGGGCCCCCCCCCCATCGAAAACCGGGGGGGGGTCACTACCGGTTCGAACCCCTCCCCCCCCCCCTCACCGCCAGCAAACGACTCCCGGGCCCTACCGCCGTCCGCGCCACATCCCCCAGTGTTGTTCCCAGTGCCACTGTCCTCACCACCACTGTCCCCACTGGTTCCACCACTTTCCCCACTGTCCCCACCAGTGCCCCCACCACTGTCGCACTGTCCCCACTGTCCCCACCACTGTTCCCACCACGGTTCCGCTCTCCCCACTTTTTCCACGGCCCCAACGACTGCCCGACTATCCCCACTGTCCCCACTGTCCCACTGACTCTTCCGCTGTCCCACTGAGCTGTCCCACTGTTCCCACCGCTGTCCCCACTGTCCCCACCATTGTCCCCATTGTACCTCTGTCCCATTGTCCCACCGCCGTCCTCGCCACCGCCTTCACCACTGTCCCCACCACCACAGTACCCTCCACTGTCCCACTGTTTCCACCACATTCCCACTGTCCCCACACCACTGTCCCCACCACCACCGTCCCCACCACTGTCCCACTGTCCCCACTGTTCCCACCATTGTCCTCACCACCGTCCCCACCACTACCGTCCCCACCACTGTCCCACGGTCCCCACCACTGTCCCGCTGTCCCCTCACCACTGTCCCCGCCACCACCGTCCCCACCACTGTCCGCCCCCCCCCCCGGTTTTCGAGGGGGGGGGGGGTTCGAACCAGTAGTGCCCCCCCCCCGGTTTTCGGAGGGGGGGGGGGGAGAGTGGGTTGACACCGGTAGTGACCCCCCCCCCTTTTCATAATGGACTGGGGGGGGGGGGGGTTCGAACCGGTAGTGGCCCCCCCCGTTGTCCAGAGGGGGGGGGAGGGGTTCGAACCGGTAGTGCCCCCCCCGGTTTTCCGCCAGCAGCGGTAAAACACGTTTTTTCGAATATTGCAAGGGGTCGAAGAAGATGTGGAGGAGGAGGAGGGGGAGGAGGAGGCGGAGGAGGAGGAGGAGGAGGAGGACCAGTGCAAACACAAGACGCATCGACGACGTTGCAGTACGCCTCCCTCCAAGTTCCCTTTTCAGTCGGTTCCACACGGGAAGCCAAACGTCTGAGACCCTTCAGTCGTGCCGTAGCGCAATTCCTGGAACTTCAGTGTCGCGAAACACTCAAGTCGGGCATGTCCTTCTACAGGAGGAATATTCAAAAATAGTAAAACAATAGTTTGGGGACGATGTTCGACTAATTTGGGCAATTCTCGGAATAAAGAAATCCACCTGTAGAAGGACATTCCCGACCTGAAACAACGTGAGCGTTGCGCCCTGACAATCCAAAGTCGTGCCACAACACAATTCCCCGCACTTCACCTTGGCGAGTCAACGTGACTGGTGCGAATCCTGTTGCAGACTTTCAAGACGAAATTGCGCGGCGGTAGGATGAACACATCTAAAACACCGCTCGCTTTCCATCCATGACATTGCTGCAAACTTGAGAAAATATTTAACTAAGTGCGCCGCGCTAAGGTGAGAGCCACATGTTGAAAAACACCCGCCCCCATCGGTGAATTGTGTGTGAATTTCGCGTCAGGATCATGCATGGTGCGGAAGTCTCAGGAGAAACGCCTGACCCGCCCTACCGACACGTCTGGGTGTGCGACTGTCAGGGATTCGTTTTAAGGGAAAGGGATGGAGGAGGAGGAGGAGGAGGAGGGGGAGGGGGAGGAGGAGGTGGGTGAGGGGCAGGGGGAGGGAGGAGGACGGATGGCAACCATGGCCGTGTGCGTGGGGGAGCATGGTATCGATGGTTCTTACGCCGCGGCGACGGCATTATTGGTGGCCCATTCGATGCACGCCCACTTGTGCGAGCCCTCGCGCATATATACTTATGCACTTATGTATAATATACAGGTGTACTCAAATCGCTCTTCCTCTAACAGTTGCTGCTCCTGCTTCATCTCGGTCTCGGGTTCTGTTGTTGCCCCGGCCCCAGGTGAAGGCATCCGCCGCCAGTGTGTGAAGCTTGACTCGCTCTGCCGTTGGCCTTGCATGCTCCAGTTTACGCCAGTAGGATGCCCCGTCCACGTGTTTGGATCTCTTGGGCGCTGGTGACTGGATTGGATGTAGCTTGCGACCGTGACTGCAGATGCCAACATCACCCGCGACAGAAATGGCACAACACCTGCCCTTTGCTTCGCGTCCCGCGTGCGCAGACTCAGGACGCATGTTCTGGATGCACGCGGCTAGCAGAGCATGCGCTTCCCTCTTGTTATACATGTGTATGTTCGCGTGGTAGAGTGTGCATGCGATCGGCCGTGCTCATCAGCACACTGGACGAGGGCATCACACGTGTGCAGACGCAGATCGAGCTCATCGTTCTGCAGGCCATTGGGCCACAGGCTGGGTGGGAGCGCGCACACCAATCTGAGCAGTCAGGTCTCTCGGTACTCTTCAGATACAGTGGCATCCTTCGTTGGACACCCTTGTATCCTGGTCCTCTTGTCCACCTGCTCCTCCTCGCCTTTGCCCCCCTCCCAGTTTCTCTAACACCCCCCTTCTTGCCCGTCGAAAAGCCTCGACCCAAGAAAACGAGTAACACGCAGGACACAGGGGCGCGAACACCATAGCGGAAACACAAGACGAACCCGTGAAACAGGGAACGCACGAACCCAGGATTTCGAGGGTCGTCGAACCCTGGACGCACGGAATGCGCTAGCCGCAGAAGTTTGGAGAGTTGGTTGAGGCGGAGGAGGACAAGGAGGAGGAGGAGAAGCAGGAGGATAAGAATGATGCAGAGGAGTATGAGGATGAGGGCGACGTTGAGGAGGAGGAGGCGGAGGAGGAGGACGATTAGGAGGGGAGGGGCTACGACGAGGAGGGCGCCTGCTCACAGCCTGTCCGTCTTCTGCTCGTCCGCGTCGTGGTCCCACGTCGCAGCCGCCACCGTCGTCTTCGTAGCCGTCGTCCACTCGGACTCACGCTCGCACCCAGGCGCTCACAGCCAAACGCTCCCAACGGAAGGTGCCTGCACGTGCGGGGATATCCGCTCCGGGTAGGTGTTATCGGCGCTTTGGCGTCGGGGCCCCTTCTTTGCCTCTGGCTTGCTTTCGGGCCCGCCAGGGCCGGTTTTATATTCCCCGCCGCGTTCGGGGAGTGTCAGGAGGAGGAGGAGGAGGAGGAGGAGGAGGAGGAGGAGGAGGAGGAGGAGAGGAAAGTGACGAGGGTGATGAGGAGGAGAAGGAGGAGGAGGAGGAGGAGGAGGACCAGTGTAAACCCGAGAGTCATCAACGATGTTGGAATTAACCCTCCCTCCAAGCTCCCTCTTCATAGGCCCCTACAGCGGTTCACATTTCTAGTCAGGGAACTGTCTCGTTTGAGGACAACCGTTTGAAGATCCTGAAGCATGCCAAAACATTGTTCTCGGGATTTCAACGAGTATCTACCTGACTGCTTCAACGACACGTATCTACCTATCTACACGTATTTGGCGATCCGGAATCGTTCCATAACGCCATTTTTGACTTCCGTTCCGCGAATCAACATAACTGTTGCACCCGCAGAATCCTGAATCCTTCCAAAACCCCGTTTCTGGTACGTTGATGATGGGAACCCGTGAACCTCTTGCAACCTTTTATAACGAATGTGCGTGGCGCTAAGGCGAGATCCACATGTTGAAAAGGAACCGACCTCAATCCGTGAAACTCTTGCAAACTTTTACAAAGCATGTGCACGGCGCTAAGGCGAGAGCCGCATTTTAACAACGACCCGCCCTCAATCCGTGAAGCTCGTGCAAGCTTTCACAAATAATGTACGCGGCGGTAAGGCGAGAGCCACATTGAAAAAACAACCCTCCCTCAATCCGTGGCACTCTTGTAAATGTTTACAACGATTGTGCGCGGCGCTAAGGCGAGAGCCACATTTTGAAAACGACCCGGCCTCCAGCTGAAACTGTTGTCACGTTTCAAGCTTCAGGGTCATAAGTGGTGAGGAAGTCTCAAACGAAACGCCCAGCCCGCCCAATTCACTGGCCTCGGGGTGCGACAGGGAGGAGTTATCTATAAAGGAAACGAATGGAGGACGAGGAGGACGAGGCCGAGGAGGACGAGGACGAGGACGAGGAGGAGGAGGAGGACGAGGAGGACGAGGAGGACGAGGAGGACGATGACGAGGACGAGGACGAGGACGAGGACGAGGACGAGGATGAGGAGGAGGAGGAGGAGGAGGACGACGAGGACGAGGACGAGGACGAGGATGAGGCCGAGGAGGACGAGGCCGAGGAGGAGGAGGGGTCGGACGGGTGCTGCGCCGCGCTCCCACTTGCGTCACGCCGCTCGCGACGGGTGCACTCTCCAGGGCGCGCGGTGCTCTCTGCGTCGTCGTGCCTCTCGAGGAGGGCTGCGGCCGCGCGGAGGACATCCTGAGGAGGAGGAGAGGGTGGAGGAGGAGGAGGAGGAGGAGGAGGAGGAGGAGGAGGAGGAGGAGGAGGAGGAGGAGGAGGAGAGGGAGGAGGAGGAGGAGGAGGAGGAGGAGGCGATGGGGGGAAGGGATAACGAGGAGTACTGCGGGGCGAGGGGCACGACGTCGGGGACGAGGAGCAAGAGCGAACGTTTCACGTGGACAACGAGGAGGATGGGGAAGAGGAGGTGCGGACGGAGGAAGACGAGGAAGACGAGACGCACCGCGAGCAGGGGAAGCAAGTCGACAATGAGTAGCGGGATGAGGTCGTCGCGGTCGTCGTCAGGGCGAGTCTGGGTCCAGGGCCCCCAGGGCAGCCCGCTGGCTGCTTCCCGCGCTGCCAAGCGATGGATAGAGCAACATCGTATTTGGTTCGCCCCCCTTGTGGAATGAGCAGGCTGGCAAAGTGTTGTCGGTTTCCAGCGTTGCCGCGCGGCGAGTGGAGCATCACGGTATCCACTCGTGCTGCCGCGCGACTCCGCCGCCGCGTTCGGGCGTGCGCGGGGGGAGAAGGGGCGCCCAGGGGGCCAGGCCAGGGGTGGACACGCCGCGGACCTTCCTTCCGCGGACTTCCTGTTCAGGGTTACAGTCAAAAACCCTAATAAGGACGCGCGACTTTGCTCAGGGTACCCTTGCGTCCTTGCTCTTCCTTGCTCTTGCGTCCTTGAGGTTGTCGTCGTCCGCCGCTCCAAAAATCCCAACTTCGGCTTCCAAGGGTCTTGCGGCCTTACCGCGCGTCCGTATTATGGTTTTGACTGTATGTTCCGCCTGGAAGGCCACAACAGACGCAGGGCGGTGACCGCAAACAGTGAGGGCATCCTGGGCTCGATGGTGATCGTTTCTATTCCCTGTTTCGCCGAGGGGCGCGGGCCCTCGCACCCCCCCTCCCCCCCTCCCGCACGGAGCAGATCTTGGCTGCTTTGGGGCCCCCCCTTTTCCAGCAGGTGCAGTGATCCCTCATACTGTCAAAAACCTTAATAAGGACGCGCGACTTTGCTCAGGGTACCCTTGCGTCCTCGCTCTTCCTTGCTCTTGCGTCCTTGAGGTTTTCGTCGTCCGCCGCCCAAAAAATCCCAACTTCGGCTTCCAAGGGTCTTGCGTCCTTGCCGCGCGTCCCTGTTAGGGTTCTTGGCTGTAATGGACACACCGTGGCAGACAGCCGCGCGAAGCAGAGGTCCAGAGCCAGACCCCCCCCTCGCCCCCCCCCTCTTCGCTCAGTGTCGAAACGCCGAAGAAGAACACGCCCGCAGGCGTGCGGGGCGGGGGGGGGAGCTGTCGCCCCGCGGGGAGCGGGCGTGCCCCGCGCCCGCCTGCGGGCCGCGCGCGCGGCGGCGGCTCTCGCTCGGCCCCCCGTGGGCGATGCCCCGCGCGACGGCTCGAGACGAACACGACGTGGCTCCGCGTGTTGCGCTGCCGCGCGACGGCCCGCGCGGAGCCGCTTCCTTCTCCGCGCCGCGCGCCGCGCGGCGCGGCGGGGCGGGCAGAGCGCCGCGCGCTCGCGTTCCAGGCCCTGCCGCGCGGCGGGGGGGGACACAAGACACGATCGCCTCCGCCTCCTGCGCGGCGCGCGGCGCGCGGAGGGCACTCGCATTGGTGTCCTGCTTCCTGCGATGCCGCGTGGCGAGTGCGATGGAATGAACTAGCGGCTCCGCCCCCGCCCCCCGGGCCTCCCCGCCTCCCCCAGCCCCCCCCCCAGGCGTTGCCACGACACGGGCCGAGCAGACCCTTGCTTGCTTCCGCAACCTTGCCCCATGGCCAAGTGCCGTCGTCCTTCTGTGCGACGTGGCCAGGTGCCGTCGTCCTGGAAGTGCTCTGGGGGCTATCGGAGCACGCTGGAAGACATCCCGAGCGATCTTGTTCCATCGTGGAGGCCGTCCTGGGCCATCTGGAGCCATCCTGGAGACATTTTGAGCAGTCTTGGACTCTCTGCCCCTTGGGGTGAGCAGCGTGGACTCGGCTTTGCTCCCGCTCTCTGCGCAGCCGCGCGGCGAGCAGCATCGGCTCGTGCCCTGCTTTTCGCCCCCAAGCGCTGCCGCGCGACTGTCACAGAACTCACCGCGCTGCTTGGTGCGCGGCCTCTCCCGCGCCTGCCTGCGCGAGGAGGTGCAGCGGAGCGTGTGCTGTCTGCCCCCTTTGACGCTGCCGCCTGGCGAGCAGGGTGCAACATCTACGTATGCCATCGGCGTCACCCCAACATACTCATACCATATGTGCGTCGTCCCCCCAAAAGCGACGCGCACACCGAGAAATCTTATAGTATATATGATCCAGGGTCGAGGGTTCACGGGCCTCCCCCCCAGATGGTATGGTCCCAGGATTCCTCGGGCCCCCCCCCCCAGATGGTATGGTCCCAGAGACGACGACGACGACGACGACGACGACGACGGCGACGACGACGGCGACGACTACGACGACGGCGACGACGACGACGACCACGACGACGACGACGACGACGGCTGCGGCGGCGACGACGCCGGCGGCGGCGGCGACGACGACGATGACGACGATGACAACGGCGACGACGACGATGACGACGACGACG